GTCCTTTAAATACTAAGTATCAATATTAGTTCTAAAAAGATCAGATAATTCATTTTTATAACTTAGATTGGTAATTCCCAAATAGGAGTATAGCTGAGTCTCTGAGGGAGAGAGAGGACAGTGTAAGATATTACATTTACCCAAGGCAACAAAGGTTAGGAAAGGTTGAGTGACTCTGTCATGAAGAAAAATTATCTGGACACTCTGGAGATCTTTCATCAAATGGAAAAAAAGAGAGTTCACAAAAGTTAATTGATTTAAAAAAATAAACTGGATCTAGAACAAATGAATTTTAATGACTATTTTTCAAAAAATGATTACTTTGTTAATTTTGAACTGTAAAGCTAATTCTGTATGTATGGGATGGGATGATATGGAAAACAGCAGATTGAAAGCAAGAGAGAGCTGAGTTCAAGTCTCAGCTTGGTTACTAAATGATGGGGCCTTCACTGTTCTGGGCTTCGGTTTTCTTATATGAAAGTGAGGGGTCTAGCCTACATGATCACTAAATGCCTTGGAGTTCTGCTGCTCTATAACTTACTAAATTTTATGCCTTTTTAACACAAGTATTTAATTAATTTTTTTAACATTTATTCATTTTTGAGAGACAGAATGTGAGCAGGGGAGGGACAGAGAGAGAGGGAGAAGCAGAATCTGAAGCGGGCTCCAGGCTCTGAGCTGTAAGCACAGAGATGGACGTGGGGCTCAAACTCACAAACTATGAGATCACGACCTGAGCTGAAGTTGGATGCTTAACTGACTGAGCCACCCAGGCACCCCTATAAAACTATTTTATAGGCTCTATGTAAAACAAAACAAAACAAAAAACACCGAATACTTGAGAGATGATAGTTATGATTCTTTCTAACTAGAATACAGGTCCTTGTCTCTCTGGCCCACAGCCTCACAGATCATGTATCTTAATGAATCTATACCAAAATCACTTGTGCAGTATCATCAACCTGGAAGTTCTTATTCAGTAGATCTGATGGTGCACCTGAACCTGTGTAGTCTGAACATCTCTCAGTGACCCTTGGCTGAAAGTCACCCTTCCGGGTTCTCCTTTGACAAAATGTCTCTTGAGTTTAAGTTGCGAAGATTAATGACAACAATGGAAACAAATGCAAAGTTAGAATTAATCTCAAAAAAGAGGGTTTCTTTCTTAGCCATCTGTGGATAAACTCAACATTTCTTATTTATGACTTCCACTGGATCAGCATTTATAGATGTTAGATATTTGAATGTTTTGCTGTGACAACAAAATATCAGGGAATTGGAATTCAGTTGGCATTGAGACAGACTATGTATAAAGTAAGAGGAACATACATACATATTTTAAAGTATATATGTTTAAATGTAGTGCATAAGTTCATAATGATAACCTAATAATAAACTTTTAATCTCTAGTATCTTTGTCCCTCCAACTCCACTTGGCATTTTTTCACCCTTTTCTACCCAGCTTCTCTGCACCAGGAGACTGACCTGAAATGAACTGTACTAGTCCTCATAGCCTCTGGCCAGTGCGCAGCTCTGGTAGGAAAGGAGAAGACATCCCAGGAAAGGAGAAGAGTATATTAAGTTTATGTTGTTCCTGGATCTCTCCTGGGAAGGTCATATTTGGCTGTCTGTGTTCCTCAACCAAAGATTGCACTGCTCTTTGTTTTGAAGCTCTGATGATTTCCCCTTTCCTCATCCTTTGAAGGATGGAAACAATGCTGATGCAACTGGCTCCCACTTTGTTGCACTAGCTCTTGTGGCTTTTCTTTATTTATACTTTATAAATAGATCCTTGTAAAAAAACCCTCCTGGAACTATCTTATTTTGAGCATGACATTGATTTCCCACTTATTGGGATCCTGACTGATACAGATGTTAAAGATGACTTTGAGAATCTTTGATTAATATAAATAAAGGGGAATATGTGAAAACTTAAGCTGTGGTTTGTTTAAAGAAAAAAAAAGGTGTGGCTAAGTGGTTGAAGAACAGGATGGTAAAAGTCTTGTTAAAATTGAGAATTGAGGTAGTAGCAAATAGGAGAAAATGGGATGTTGAGTTGACCAAGAATTTGAAAAAGAAGCAAGGTGATGTGAATTTTAACTGAATACAAACACCAAGTCACAAGGCTGAAACCGGTAGTGTTTCTCTACCTGCTCCAGAGACACTTGATCTGTGATATTACATTCACTGGGGGGCAGCTCATTAACAGAATACTGTGGGCAAGCTAGAAGGGGTTCATACAGGAGTAACCAAATGATAAAAAAGTGCTTGAGGATTGACCTGTGAGGAGAGATTGAAAAGATGAAATCACTAGGCTTTAGCTAAGTGGTGTCTAAGGGGTAACATTCAACTGTCTACAATTATGTGAAGGTTATAAACTCTTAAAGAGAGGGAGTGATTACTACATATCAAAGGAGTAATTTGTAAAGAGACAAATTAAGAAGGGAAAAGTTTAGCTCAAATAACGGGACCATTCTAATGTAGAGCTATTTTATGTCTTATAAAACTGTGTTACAGAGTTAACTGTTACATATTATAGTCTTTGAAAAAAGACAATAATCAAACAAATGACAAATTACTTAATATTAGATATGTGGGTTCTCTACAATCTATTAGCTATTGATGTATCTTAGAAATCAGCCGTTCATAGCATATTTAGAAATAAAAATAATGCCTGCTACTATTACTGTAGGTTTAGTGCTAGGCATCTAACACGTAGCTCATTTAATTGTTAACACTGCATAACTGTTACAGAAAATGAGGGTTATAAAACTTAAGCAAAATTCTGAGCATTGCCCAGCTAATAAGAGACAGAACCAAGATACAATCCATGGGTCTTTATCTCTATCTCTGCTTATCATCCTTGAATAGTTAAGTTACTTTTGTACATTGGATCTATAAATTTTTCTTCTATTGTTTATATGACTGTAAGGATTACTAATTCTTTAAATTATATTTTTACTAATAATTAATTAATTAAAACATGATATATTAAGGTAGCTTGGAATATGGCTACTCAAACTCCTGGTCATGAACTTTGCAAAGGATAGACATTTCCATAGACATTTTCCATTCTTGAACAATCCATGAGGTTATCACTCATTCTTGTTATATGGGTGAGGTAAAACCCAAATAATTTAATTTCCTTATTCTAGACACTATTCATTTTTAATTTTAAAACATAATTTCCTGAGCCACTATTTTATGCAATTCAAATTGTCCAGTAAGTTATAATATTTTACAAAGCTATAATATTAAAGAAATGCTATTGGACAGTTCTTTTTTTAATTAATCACCTTTTACAATTTAATTTACTTAATTAAGGAGTGCCTAAGTGGCTCAGTTGGTTGAGCATTCAACTCTTGGTTTCAGCTCAGGTCATAATATCGTGGTTCATGAGTTCAAGCCACATATCCAGCTCTATGCTAATAGCAGGAAGCCTGCCTGGGATTCTCTCTCTCCCTCTCTCTCTTTGCCTCTCCCTTGCTCTGTCTCTCAAAACAAATAAACTTTTAAAAATGTAAGGAAAAAAAAAGGTTTTTAATTTAATTGAGTCAAAGAGCTATTGAAAGACTTGCTCATGGCTAATATTTCAAACTGTCCAAAGAACTATCAAGTCAAGAATAAGAGTCTCCTTTCCCCTACCTCAACCTCTATGATCAGAGATAACCACTGCTAACAATTCCTTCCGTCTTTCCAGGAAGTTTTTATGCAAATATCTGTGCACACTTTCTTTTCGCACTTAGCTACTTATCTTGGTTATCTTTCTGTGTCAATATATAAAGTGATACTGTAGCATTTTTAATGACAATAAAATATTTTATATTATGGGTGTCCCATTAATTAGTTTCCTATTGATGGATATTTGGATAGTTTCTAGAGTTTTGAAATAATCAATTCTGTTATGAATACACACACACACACACACACACATTTATCTTTGTATACTTATGTTGTACTGATAGGGCAATTTCTAGCTAGAACATTTCAGGGTCAAAGCATTGTATGTTTAATTTTATTTGCCTGATTGTCATTGCGGGTTTTACATTAACACAAAAACTCAATGGTCTAAAAAGGCTGCTCACACTTTAAAACTCACATCAAACTCCCAGATTTCATGGTATTAACTTCTGCTCTGTGGGCATAAAACGGCAATTTGCCAAAGATGAACATTTTATTCTACATAAATATTTCAGTCCTGGACTGGGCCTACCATTGCCCATATATATTTTCAAGTCAGTGACATATTATTTTGTGTGTATTTTTCCATAGCTTAATTAAAAGAAACTCGCTAATGTTTAAAATAATGGATTTGACTAATTATTTGTTCTAGGCCTTGGCTCAGGCCATTTCTTCCACTTGGAAAATCCATTTCACTCCAATCCTGCTTGTCTATATCCTACCTACCCTTCATGCTTTATTTCAAAAGATGCCTTCTCCATCTAAGTCCATGTTTCCTCAGAACTCCCAGTACCTCTATTTAACCCTTTTATAGTTTATATTTTACATTGTAAGGCTCTGTTAAATAGTAGCTACCATTATTATTAGGCACTGGATTTTTCCAGTTCTACAAGTGTTATTTTCTCCTGTCTGCCCTTGTCTTCTCCAATGGATTGATTTAGCTCAAACTACATATTAATATTGTGATTGTTTTTATTTTTAAGATGAACTGGTTAAAACAATTTTTATTGTAAAGTTGCAGATTTTTCGACCCAGTAAAAAATGATTTAAAATGTCTTGTTGGAACCCAGCTAATAAACAAACGCAACTTTAAAAACTGAGAGTTAAATCTGAAACATACTGGTTAGAGTAACATGGACGCTATCATATTAAAGACCTTTGGAGGCAAGCTAGCATAGTTTACACGCCATTGGACCTATTTATAGAGCTGACTCCTTTCTGCAATGTCAAGTGTAACATTATACTTATTTTAAGCCTCAGTATCTCAAATATCAGCCTCTACTAGTTGTACAGTTCTCTCTTATTTGATATCAGAGAGCCCAATGGAGCCTTCTGAAGAACCTAGTCAGATTAGCAAAGATAACTTTTTAGAAGTTCCTAATTTATCTGATTCTCTTTCTGAAGATGAAGAAGTTAAAGCTACTTTCAAACCTGGTTTCTCCCCTCAACCTAGTAGACGAGGTTCTGACTCTTCTGAAGATATGTACCTGGGCACTTCAGCTTCAGGTACAAGAAGAGTTTCATTCGCTGACACCTTTGGATTCAATCTTGTGTCTGTCAAAGAATTTGATTGCTGGGATTTACCAAGTGTTTCGACCACTTTTGACTTAAGGAAGGACATTTTCCACACAGAAGAATATGTTTTATCTCCACTATTTGAGTTGCCTTCTTCAAAAGAAGATCTTATGCAGCAACTTCAAGTACAGAAAGCAATACTGGAGTCAACTGAGTACCCTCCTGGGTCTACAAGTATGAAAGGCATTATTCGAGTTTTGAATATTTCTTTTGAGAAGTTAGTATATGTGAGAATGTCCTTGGATGACTGGCAGACACATTATGACATTTTAGCAGAATATGTCCCAAATTCATGTGATGGTGAAACTGACCAGTTTTCCTTTAAGATTTTGTTGGTTCCCCCTTATCAAAAAGATGGCAGTAAAGTTGAGTTTTGTATACGTTATGAAACTTCTGTTGGTACATTTTGGTCAAATAATAATGGCACAAATTATATATTGATTTGTCACAAGAAAGAACAAGAGCCAGAGCCTGTGAAACCACGGGAAGATGTTCCTAATAGACAAATAAAAGGCTGCTTAAAGGTAAAATCAAGGTAAGGATATATCTTATATTCATTATTCTTCATAATTTTAAAGTATTTTATGCCATTCTTCATTTCATGTGTTGTAAGAAATAGCCATTCTGTTTAAAAAGATACTGCTCATTATATATAAAACAATGGTGTTAGGCTTTAACAAGGTCAGCGCTATTCAAATAATAGCACTGTGTTATCTCTCCTCCAAATCCAAGGGAAAATATGGATATAATGTAATAGATGGAAGAGCAGGGAAGCACAATTTGCATATTTCTTGCCCAATTACTTACAAATTATTAAGTTCGACCATGGAATGTAGATTCTTAACATGTAAAACTTCATTTTGACATGTATATTATATTTACTTTTAGTGGCTTTTAAAAGTCTATGCTGTACATCAAAACATTTCTGATTCACACAAAACAGTGTTTCAATATGCTTTTAGTGCTCAGAAATTTGTAGGCTTCTCTCCAAACTTTTAATGACTGATTGAGTCATACAGGGGTGTTTGGAGTGATATGTGTTAACTAAATCATAACAGCAATGACTTTAACAGAGAACTAAGAGAAAGACAAAAGTATATGAGTAATGTATGAATGACACATAAAAGTTTATAATTAGAACCAAATATAACATTAGAGAACACAAAGTAGCATAAGTTAGTAAAAGCAAATGGAGCAGAATTTTTAAAAACATGACCCAAATAGAAATAAGAATATTCAGCTTTATAGATCAGAGATTTGGGATGTGACTCCTCATTAGTAACCCTGCTCTCCTGTTAATATGAAAAAAATAAAGAAAACTGCATTCAGCTCCCTATACTGTCATAATTTCTATGACACTAGGTTAGGAGATAAAATATCGAGGAGGAGAAAGACCCCTTCTGCCACTCAAAGTGTCTCAGTGGGAAAGTTGACATTGCTTCACAAGTCACAGGCAAATGTTTGATTGTTTTTTGGGTGGTCCATCCTAACTGTTACTAGACCTAAAGTTTCTCGCAACTGCACTAGATATAGTGTAATGAAGAGGGAACTGTATTAGGAATCAAGACACTGAAATTCCAAGTGGAATTTAATAAAAATATAAGGAATGACCTGGGAAAAATTTTAACCTTTTTATGCTTTAATGCCTTGATATTACCGTAAATATTAACACTAACTGTGTTAGTCTAACACACTGATGAACTAAATATTACATAGGTGGAAGCAATTCAATAATATAAAATATTTCTATTTTCATTATCCTTTAAAGTCATTTGAAAGTTTGGCCTACTCAACTTTGTGAATTTTGCCAACTTTCTTAGTCCAAATAAAACTTTCTCAAACTTTAACTGATGCTGTTAAGAGAATACTATAGCTGTAATCTCTACATGTGCTAAAATAATAACTTAGATGTTTATGAAATTACTTGGCATCATGTTAACTGTAGAGACAACAGAATTTCAACACTACTTAACAAAGTAATTTATATACACAAACATGTACATTGAATACTTTACAAACGAGATCATCATCAGCAAATAAGAGAGAAAAGCACAATTTAGAAAGGTCACAACCTTACTGTGCTAATAGAAATGCTAATAGAAGAAGTTGTATTTAAGTCTGAGGAATTTTCTCAAGTTTAAGATGCAGCCTAAAAATGCAAGCAATACATGCTGAACTATGGTATAGACAGAGAATTCCTTTGACAGATCAACCTTGACTTGATACCAAAAACAAAAATGGGCAACTGATAGGTCTAATCTTCTAACCCAGTCGTGATATTATTGGAACTTCTCCTAGTCTAAGATATGTATAACTATATATATCCATACACACATTTGTATTCAGAACAGTAATCATTGGATTCATAGCGGACACCATTCAAGTTTTAATATTGCTTTGGGGAAAAACCTGAGAAGAGCTAAGCCACAAAATGGTCTAAAGGCCTGTAAAGTTTCCTAATGAGTTATAAAAATGGAAAAAATCTCTCTCCTTCAAAACCACAAATACATTTTCTGCACTTCTATAACTTAAAAATGACCAACATAATTCAAACCACATTTTGAAAAAAGCATTTGCCTCTGGAGGAGGCCTTTTGTGCTGAGTTTCAGTCCAACATGAATTTTTACATCTGATTTATATACCACTCAAAATGGAGTGTATAAAGGAAATCCTGACAGATCCTTAGAACAGCATGTGCCGTAATAGAATATTTATACAGCTTTTCCATGATATAATTTATATGCAATGGGGTTTCAAATATTCCTAAAACTCACACAAGAGAGCATTATCAAATTTCTAAATGAATACTGCAGTTGGATTTCATTGTGAAGAATTTAGTTAGGGAAAAAGAGCACACCTATTAGTGTTATTTTGCAAAACGTGTACTTGACTAAAATAAAAGTGAACTAACACTTGATCAAAAAATTATAGCTTCAAAAATATCCTCCACCCTTCAAAGAGCTATAGAATCTAGATGGAGTTGTTTTGTTTTGTTTTTAGTGTTTCCACACTTCCTCCATAGCTTAATTTGCAGGTCACTTCTTCTATAGGATAAATATAGAGGAGAAATTTATCTGGAATTTTGCTCCATACATGTAAGCAATTAATAATAGTGTCTATATAACTCAGAGTTAAAGTGCAAATAGGCTGTCCTGATGCAGACAGTAACATCTAACTTGAATTCTTTTTAAAACCAAAGTTAATTTCGTATCAGTGTCCTGGAGATTGACTGTATCTTCTGAAAGTGTCCACAATTCCTTCTAATAAATACAGAATGAACTGTGGGAACACATTTAGTGAGGTAGGATCTGTTATGTCATTCACCCTAGGCACTATGCTTTTCCTGTGGGGATATTATTTTTTTTAGGTTAGAGTCTGCAAATCTCTACATTGAGGTGGTTGTCTATTTTCTTTGATGTTTGTTAATCTATCCACTTTGACAGAAAGAAATATCTAGAGGGAGAGGAAAGCAGAGTTCGTAACTCGCAGGCATGTGACTGAGAGTGACCCAAAGGTATTTAATTGCACGGAAAGTCATGCATCATGAGACATTTGATAAGTGTCACCATGTATACGGCACAGGTGTATGTGTTAGCAAACAAACTAAGCAGATTCTGATCTACATTCCTTGGCCTTTATTTCAAAATAAATGACCAAAAGAAATTAATGACACTGATATAAATTACATGTACAGAGATAAATAAGCTAAAACTAGCATGCAGAAGCAATTAAAATTATGAGCTTCAGAGTTAAACATATCTGGCATAGACAAGATCTACCATGCTGGCTGTGTGACTTGGGCAGGTTAAGTTTGGTTTCTTCATCTGCTAATTGAAATAACAATAGTACCATATTATATGGGCTGGGATTTCTGTGAGATAATACATATCACCTTCTGGCACAAGGTCTGGCACATAGTAAGTTACAGATAAATGTTAACCAATATAAAAAAAGACAAGGCTACCTTTAGCTTTAGGTGGATCTCAAAAATCCTAGAAAGGCTCAACCTGCCCAAAAGTCTTTTTTTTTTAAACGTTTTTTATTTATTTCTGAGAGAGAGCGCGCAAGCAGGGGAGGGTCAGAGAGAGAGGAAGACACAGAATCTGACATAGGCTCCAGGCTCTGAGCTAGCTGTCAGCACAGAGCCTGATGTGGGGCTCAAACCCACAAACTGTGAGATCATGACCTGAGCTGAAGTCAGGCGCTCAACCGACTGAGCCACCCAGGTGCCCCCCAAAAGTCTTGATACCAAGACTTTCCTTTAGGGTTTTAAGTTTTCAGCTTTGAAGAGCCATTTCTTTGTTGCAGGATTTTAATCAATAAACAAAACTAATTAAATTGTAAATTTTCAGGAGAAATGTGTCACTTTATATCTGAAACACCTTAAAACTGAATATGTTAATGAATATTAAAATTCCCACATTTACCAGATGAAAAAATGGAGGAACAGATGGGAGGGGTAAAAAAAGGCACGAATTTTGGTATTGAACTGACATGCATATTAATCTCACTAAAATATATACTTAGTAGTTAGGTGATTGTGGATATATTACTTTACTTCTCAGTGCCTCATTTTATTCATCTGTAAAATAGGGGTAATGACGGCTGATATTGTGATGACTCAATACCAATAAAATAAGATACTTTTAAGGCTTCTAGTAGAGTGCTGGGCACATAACAGAGAATCATCAAAACCCAAATCATTATCAAATCTTGTTCAGCTAATTTTTGATTCTTGGACTTGCATTGTTTCTCTAGACCTCATAGTCTACGTTGTTCAGGTTCCAAAACTCATTCAACAAGTGATTATTAAAGACCTGTGTGTTGTTAGACACCAGTATCCATGAGAAACATGGCTGCAAACATGACTCTGTGAGCTGAGGAGAGGCCCCAAGGAAAAGGTTTTCCCAGGGGCTGAGAGCAGAGAAAGGGAGAGAGAGAGAACATCATCTCTGATTCTTTGGCTATACAATGGAAGCTAGGGATAAAAAAATAAAATAAGAACCATTTACATTATGTTTCATGTTTTCTAGAATATGTGATCTATAACTGGTCTTGTGCAAGGGCTAGGGGAATGACCTTTTTTTTCCCCCACCAGCTGCTAAATGTATGTTCCCAACTGTTGGGTACACAGACTGACTTCATCTGGTTTTGCATTTTATTAAGTGAAACCAATTTATTATTTTAAGTAAAGAAATGGCATGATATAGGTGTTGGATGGTATTTATAACTTGGCCAGGTGAATACAAATAAATTCCTGAAAGATTTCAATGCCAAAGAAGAAAATTGATCAGTCTTCAATTTTTGTACCTGAGGAATAGAACAAGGCACATTCAAGAAGGGAAAAGAGAGAAATAATTTCTAAAGCATAACTTTAAGATTACAGAGAGTTTACCTTTCAGGGTGGTATAAAATTGTTAAAATGAGGCCAAGAAAAGCATTGGAAAATGGAGCATAAGATATGGTAATGTTGCATGTTCCAGTCAGGCCCATTGGATCGTGAGACTTCCTTAATTTACACTTACAGTATAATCT